TTATAAACCCTGTCAAGCGTATGGTTGGTAACAGAGGGATGAGTTTATAAACCCTATCAAGCGTATGGTTGGTAATAGATGGATAAGTTTATAAACCCTGTCAAGCGTATGGTTGGTAACAGATGGATGAGTTTATAAACCCTGTCAAGCGTATGGTTGGTAACAGATGGATGAGTTTATAAACCCTGTCAAGCGTATGGTTGGTAACAGATGGATGAGTTTATAAACCCTGTCAAGCGGATGGTTGGTGACAGATGGATGAGTTTATAAACCCTGTCAAGCGGATGGTTGGTAGCAGATGGTTGGGTTGGGTTGGATGAGTCATGTTACTGCCGTGTCCACATATTTACTTACGGCAATTCTTGTGTCGTTATATTCACATACACTGTGTCTGAGTGACATACACCTACACTGTGTGTTTGAGTGACATACACCTACACTGTGTGTCTAAGCAACATACACCTACACTGTGTGTCTCAGCTGTCGCCTTCTTCTGCGTGTTTCTGATTTAATAACAGGAGGCCAAGCGTTTATGGCCGGTGGAGTGCACACACAGGACGTGTCGCATGTGCTGCGAGTTTTCAACATCACTCAGCCACTGCTCACTACATCCGAGAACGTTGTGCACATCACTAACTGGTTCTTAGTGGACCACAACCAGGCAGGCAAAGTGCCGCCAGGTGAGCGTCGCTGTACAGTCATTGGGGTGGGTGGGTGTAAATAGGTGAACGTTGCTGTACAGTTATTGGAGTGGGTGGGTGTAGATAGATGAGCGTTGCTGTACAGTCATTGGGGTGGATGGGTGTAGATAGGTGTGTGGACACGCGTGATGACTTCGAATGTGGTCTGAATATTGTGTGTTTTGTGATGTGTGTGATGTGTGTGATGTGTGTGATGTGTGTGATGTGTTGTGTGTGTGTTGTTTGTTGTGTGTTGTGTGTTGTGTGTTGTGTGTTGTTTGTTGTTTGTTGTGTGTTGTGTGTGGTCTGTTGTCTGTTGTCTGTTGTCTGTTGTCTGTTGTCTGTTGTCTGTTGCTCGTTGTGTGGTGTGTGTTGTGTGTTGTATGCTTATCTGTATCTATTAGTACTGTGTTTGTGTTTTCACTACAGATCATCTGTTTCTGTACCCAATTAGACTTGTTGTAGACATTAGCTTCTTTGGACATGTTCATGTCTGAACAACCTCTGTTTGGGCCGCTTTCTATTTTCTCTCTCTCTCTGCCTCAACGTTGTGAGTATTTATTGAGCACGTCCTGTACAACACTACAGGTGACTGGCCCATGCTCTCTTGTGTATGTATTCATTTGATACTACAGGTGATTATGTTACATGAGTTCTAACATCCTGCTATGTCTGCTGAGGCATACTCTCTTGTGTATGTTCTTATTTGGTACTACTGGTGACTATGTTGCATAAGTTATAACATCCTGCTATGTCTGCTGACCCATACTCTCTTGTGTATGGATTCATTTGGTATTACTGTGCATGAGTTACAACATCCTGTCATGTCTGCTGACCCATACTCTCTTGTGTATGTATTCATTTGGTACTACAGGTGACTATGTTGCATGAGTTATAACATCCTGTTACGTCTGCTGACCCATACTCTCTAGTGTATGTATTCATTTCGTACCAGAGGTGACTATGTTGCATGAGTTCTAACATCCCGCTATGTCTACTGGCCCATACTCTCTTGTCTGTGTATCCAAATTCTCCGGTGAACACTACGCCAGTGTGTGTACATTCACCAACCACCTGTCCTCATCCGCGCGCAGGGGTTGACCTTACATCCGTCGTGGGTGTGGTTGATCACCACACTCTCATGGCTGATGCGGTTGCTATGGCGTTGCCAGGGTATGTGGTGCTGCGTGCATGGGGTAGCACATGTGCGATAGTCACAGCACTGTACATAGAATATGGCGTCTCCATACCCACGCACGTGGGCGGGTGTCTGCTGAGTGGCATTGTGTCAGACACTCTGCTCTTCACCAGTCCCACCACCACGCCAAATGACATGGTAAGTCCGTCCATGAGGGTTTTTGGGTTTTGAGGTTTTAGGATTTTAGGGTTTTGGAGTGTTTGGGTTTTGAGATTTAGGGTTTTAGGGGTTTTTATTCCTGTGCTTTTAGGGTTTAGGGATTTTAATGTTTAGGTTTTAGGCTTTTTCTAGGATTAGGGTTTAAAACCCCCTTCGTCGAAACTGCTCTCGCATACCTCACCACTGACGTGTGTTCTGCACAGTGTGCCATAGTTCATTTTTAAAGTTTTAGGGTTAGTAAAGTCATTGTACTGTGCTCTTCTGCCCCACCACAAACTTGTCTTCTCTGCCTGACGTGTGTTTGGTTATTCAGACGTTACGTTTAGAGTATACAATACTAAGCATTGCCCTTGTTGATTTTTTGCGCCTCTTGTTTGATCGGCTGCAGGTAATGGCTGGGGTGGCTGAGCAAGCGGCAGGTGTCAATGCCACACTCTTGGCCACTGATCTATTCCGGGCTAAGTCCAATTTAGAGACGTTCTCAGGTGTGGCGCGTGAGCTGTGTTTTGTCTTTAGCATTGGCGTATCAGATAAATATAATCATCTGTGGTTATACCTAAACAATACATACTTCCATTGGCACATCAGATAGATATAATCATCTGTGGTTATATCTAAACAACACATACTACCATTGGCATATCAGATAAATATAATTATCGGTGGTTATATCAAAACAACACATACTACCATTGGCATATCAGATAGGTATAATCATCTGTGGTTATATCTAAACAACACATACTACCATTGGCATAG